AAAAAAAAAACCCTTTGGGGAAACAAAGGGTTTTTTGAGGTTTTGGCCGGGGCTGTTTTTAAGTGGGCCGCCGGGGGCGGGTCAGAAACAAATAAGTTAAAAACGCTTTTAAACTAAGTAATCTGCAAATTATCCATTAGTGTCAATTTTACTACAAGTAGCTGATATCTACACTTTACCTCGTTAATCTTCATATTAACGGATTTCGGTCAGCCCGCATTTGCACCTGTATCCACGTCAACGGCGGATCCGGCCGGTCAGACATAATTTTGATCCCACAATCATACTGTTACAATAAAGGCGCTTGGCGGCCGCTATCTATCTATCTACAATATGTAGGTATTTAGAAATATATTGGTATGTTTATCAGCTTTCTGATTACCACTTACAATAGTACAGGCTCTGCCTAGTTTGGGATCAGCAAGCCGTGAGAAAAGAAGCTTAATTTTTCATTCTCAGCTACGCTAAATAAATCAAGTTTTTTCAACGTGCTAGTAATATATTCCGATAGTTCCCATATCATCATCAACAGCTTTTAGTAGTCCACTGCTGGACATAGGCCTTTGATTAGAAAAGAGATTTTGCCTTACTATACCACGCTGGCCAGACGGGTTAGTATAGCGTTGGTTTTAAGTTTTCCTTCTCTCTGCAGTACTGTCGTCCTGCGTAGTTTGCTCCCTTAGTCGGCTCTTACGACACCCACGGGATGAATAGGGGTGGTGACACTCCGTATTCTTCATCCGTCACCACGCGGACTCATATATAGTGAGTTATTTGCAAAATTCTAATTCCATAGCAGAGTGTGTCAAAGATAGATTGCTTAAGTACACTTTTAGTAATATTAATTTGTTTCGAACAAATGTTTCATGTTTGCTTACATATGCATATGCCTAAATATATTATAGATGCTTACCTATCATAGTAGGATCTCTGTACATTGACAGTTTAGTATAAGTTACGAAATAAAACAACAAAAATTAAAACTCTGTAAACTATGACCAAAAACGGCCACGAGGCTATATTTAGATAATAATAAATGTATTTCTGTAGGTTTCCTTGTAGTAATTTAGTTTTTATGAACCTATTAGCTTTTCACGCACGTATTAATATCGATTTTGTGGATCATTTTTTCCTTCATAGCAGCCGTTTTGACTGGGTTGAGTCCATCATTACAAACATTTGCGTACATTTTTTTTGTTTCTTAAAAAAGACAACTCCCGCATTAGGAATATATATCCTGTGTCGCGGGGGACCCTACAAACATACATGAAACGGACACAAAGAACACCCAGACTCAGAACAACAATTTGTGGATCACACAAAGTGTCGTCCATTGTGGGGTTTGAACCCACAACACTCGGCGTAGTAGGAAGCGGCGTGGCGACCGCCTAAACCACTCCGCCATCGGTGCAATCAAAGTTTAAAGAACTCCCGCAGTAACAATATATCCTGTGTCGCGGGGGACTTTACAAACATACATGAAACGGACCCAAGGAACACCCAGGCTCAGAACAACAATTTGTGGATCACACAAAGTGGGGATCGAATCCACAACACTCAGCGCCGTAGTTAATGGGATAAATATAAAGATATTTCTTTTTAATTACAGGAAAATGAAGATCACAAACAGTATTTACAGTACTGTACAGTTTGCAACGGATACAAGGCACCAAGGTCACATCACTGCAGGAAATGTAATTAATTCTCTCATTGTTTAATTAACTCATTGTGTACTGGTTTAATCTAAAAACTGTGATAAACATTGATAAGGAAAACAGAATAGAATACCCCAACTGGAGTACCCATGTTGCTCTGACATTAAGTTTAAATTCTATTTTCAAACCTAGTTTTCCTTCAACTTTAAAAGAACTTGTTCGGGTATTTAGATTTTTTTATTCTTAAAAAAGAAAACGCACGCATTAGGAATATATCCTGTGTAAATATAATATAATATATTCTACCACATACACACAACGCCATCTAGTCCCAAACTAAGCAGAGCTTGTACTATGGGTACTAGACAACTGATATAAATACATATATACATTTTTTTTGTAAATACATACATATTATACATAGAAACACCCAGACCAAATCAAACATCAAATGTTCATGCACACAAATGTTTGACTTGAGCGGGAATCGAACCCGCGACCTTTGGAATAGCAGTCCGTTACACAAACCACTACGCCATCCAGTCGTCAGTGTCACGGAAGATTTAAAAAATATACATGAATCGGACACAAAGAACACCCAGACTCAGGACAACAATTTGTGGAACCCAAAGGGTCGTCCCATGTGAGGGTCGAACCCACAACACTTAGCGTATTAGAAGCGGCGTGGCGACACTCAAACCACTATCCACCATCTATAAACCGCCATCCATCAGTCCGTAGTCAAATATCAAACAAAAGAAAAAATGTACAGAACACCATTTTGTTTTAGTACGACTTGAGTAGAACGAAAGTTAAAAAAAAACTTTAGTTAATGGAAAAGAGGTCAAACAGAGGAGTCACCTGATCGTAAGTGCCTACCACCGCTCATAGAAACAAGAGTCACAAGTGCATTGTTGCCCTTTGAGTGCTTCCCCCTCTGCAGAATTGGGGGAGGTGTAATTTTGAGCTCCAGTTACCTCATCCAGCCCTCATCCACTGGTTTTCTATGAAGTCGTGATATCACTCCTGTCGAGTCAGACCAAAAAATGGCTAATGGCTTCCCCATAGCCAATTAATACGTATATTGTGAAACATTACCTACTTACTGCATTACTTTCATCAACAACCTTAGATAGTCCACTGGTGGACATATGCCACTTCTTAGAAAGGAGGTTTTGGCCCACTACACCACGGCCAGACGGGTTGGTACAGGGTTTGTGTCAAGTTTCCTTTCTCTTTGCACACTGCACTGTTGTCCTGTAGTTTTCTTCCTTAGTCGGCTCTTACGGCACCCACGGGATAAATAGGGGACCCACGGGATAAACACTCCTTATTCTTAATCCGTCACCACACCTACTGCATTACTTTACTCAATATTAAATTAACCTTATTTTGTTTCCAGGTGGTTATTGTATAAAGAAAATGGATCATCACTGTCCGTGGATCAATTGTTGTGTGGGGCATGCCAATCATGGATACTTCACCATGTTCCTCATAGCTGCTGTACTGGGATGTGCGCAGGCGGCTGTGGTAAGTTTGCAATGATATCTTAACACTTGAGCGGTTCTAAAACTCTACATTACACTGCCAAAGGGAATCCATTGCTACACAAAGCTTTTTTATGAGCAGATGAATACAAACTTGAGCTTAGTTGAAAAGGTTAACAAGAGCACTATTTAACAAGCATTAAGTAAAAATTTAATACCTATAGGTACCTCCTCCGACTTAACGATTAGGGGCTATCCATAAATTATGTCACACGAATTTCATGTCCCCCCCCTGTCCTTGTCACAGCTGGTCATTGTGTGTAATTTTGCAATTTTATATCTAGAAATTATTAAATTAAAATATCAGTTCCCAAATTACTTTTGTGACCATTTAAGTTATTTTTAATAAAATCATCATCAAATCAAGCTATTGAAAAAATTAACATAACGATTAATTGTATTATTGTTAATCATTCAAAGTTCGCATTTTAATACTTAGATTTACTAGGTTTTGAAATGTGACGTCATAAAACTTCTAAGTTTTGTCCGGGGTCCTAACCCTTCCAAACCATTTCCACACAAATTCCCCCTTAACGTGTGACGCAATTTATGACTGGCCCTTTAGAAAAGAGCTGATGAACGTCAAACGGCTTGAGATATTCTTGAATTGATTTTTTGGTAGTTGCTTACCATCAGGTGACCCCATCTGCTCGTTTGCTTCCTTATACCATAAAAAAGAAATAAGACCTAACCCAGTTTAGATTATGTTACTTTTGAAACAAGAATGAACCAAATCGAAATTGGCCCTTTGTGAAGGAGCTATGTTATCAACGATTGGCATCAGGGCACAAATAGGCAAAAACCTCAAGGTCAAGTTTTAACTACATGACAAAAAATGGTATTACATATTAAGTTAATAACTTTACTGCACGCATGGCGTAGTGGTTTAAGCGGTCACAAACTGTTGTTCTGAGTCTGGGTGTTCTTTGGGTCCGTTTCACGAATGTCTGTAAAATCCTCCACGACACAGGATATTGCCCTATTGCAGGAGTTGTCTTTTTTTTTAATGTAAAGAAACGAAACCATAGATTTATGTATATGAAAATCAGTGTTAATCATGGTATCAATAAAGTAGATAAGACTGTAAATGTAGAGCAAACAATACTACAATCTATATCATTCGATAATAGGGTCGACACACAAAAAATTTGAGCTTAACTTATCGCGGGCCAAGTGCCTTCTAACTCTCGTTCACATCACACATCAACAGCGTTTAATAGTCCACTGCTGGACATAGGCCTCTCCTAGAAAGGAGGTTTTGGCCTACTATACCACGCTGGGCAGACGGGTTGGTATAGGGTTTGTGTCAAGTTTTCCTTCTCTTTGCAATGCAGTTGTCCTGCGTAGTTTGCTCCCTTAGTCGGCTCTCACGTCACCCGTGGGATGAATAAGACAGAGACACTCCGTATTCTTAATCTGTCACCACACGGATTGTTACACTTACACACGTTCAGACAGTCCAAATTGGTGCTAACTGAAGTCTCACCACGACTCACCGAATAGTTGTACTAACCATAACAGGACACCTAGTCCTGTACCGACAACTATTCATCATTAATGCGACGGACAGTCCTCTTTGTAGAGGACGCCTGAAAGCAGAAGAAACGGCTGCCCGCGTAATCCTGGAATGCGAGGGAGTGACCACACAACGGGAAAGTACCATACCTGTTACAAAATCGCTCCTAGAAGCCTGTGAACGCCCAAGGATGCTTTTGCGCATCTGGAAGGAGCTTGGTTGGCTCACCTAGCCAACCTCTTCTAGACGCATAAAGGACCACTCTAGAGTCTAAATGCCGAAATCGGAGCCCTTAACAACCAAACACATTCAGATAACCATATTAGAGTCGAATCTGTAAAATTCTTCTTGCTACCTTCAATCTTGATTCTCTAGACTTTCTTAACGATATTTTTACCAACAGGTTCTAACAATATGCATATACCACGCGATAAACCGAGTCTGGTATATCCATAACGGGTCGGGTCGTGAGCCGATGATTTACTTGACGCTGACGACGCTGTTGCTGACGCTACTTGCCATAGGCATGGCCGTCGGCGTGGTTCTAGCTGTGGGCGCGCTCTTGTATTTACAGGTAAGTGTTTTACACCGTCGATACAGGTTAGAATGAATTTCTTAGTCCTCAAAAAGTAAGTAAGTTCGTACCTGTTGGTCTAGTGGTTAGTGACCCTGGCCGCAAAGCCATAGGTTCGATTCGCATCAAGGACAAATATTGTGTGATGAGCATGATTATTTCCACCAAAAATCGATGTTCAGCTGTATCGTAGTAGATTTAAAACATACTAAAATTTAGTTTGAGAAAAAGGCTCAGAGGAATTGAGCACGATCATTTTGTATGGGTGTAATTTATCGTTAACATGTAGGTATTTAGAAATATATAAGTAGGTATATTAGCAGTCTGGTTACCATAGCACAGGCTCTTCTTGGTATGGGATCAGACAGACGTGTGTGTGATGTGTGAAGTTATAGGTTATAAGTATGACGTCACAAGCCGTTATTTCGTTAAAGTTTCTACAAAACCTTAAAATTGATTTGACAGTCAATGACAATACTTGTATCCATTTTGACATATTCTTGTATTCTTTGTGTGTCCCAGGGAAGTGGTTTACCAGGAAGAGTTTCAGTAATTGAAACACTAAGCTGAAAATAATTATTATATTACACTTCATATCTTCTAATGGGCTTCCTAGAAATTGTCTTGATTCTATTCAGTTTAAATTTGAAAAACTAAGATAATTTTCATAAATATACTTACATACCATATATAGGCCATATAGGCCAAGCTCGACAGAAGGTATACCAGATCTTCGCAGAAAACCGGTATTAAGGAATGCTTTCCTTGATTTGAAAAGCATTATCCAAAGGAATAAAGTTATTGAAGCGCAAACTCCCCTCTCCCTGGAGTGGTTCAATGGGTAATACAATTTTGACTCTTGTGGTGCAGGTGTTCATGGGCGGCGATAGTCACTTACCATCACTGACTCGTCTGCTCGTTCACCCCCATATAGAAAATAGAAAAAAACTATCAATTTACCGTTCATAGCCTATAAGGTTATTCATGGCAACCAACACCTTTTTAGATTCGGGGTATACTTAGAAATCAAACAACAATAGAAGAATGGATAGTGGAGAAAGCTGCCGGTAGACGAGAAGAACAAGGGCTACCCCCATTTGTGTTTCCTTACGATATTGGACGGGTGGGGAATGCTAAGTTGGTGTTGTTCGGGTCGCGGTACGATGGGATACATTGGCCTGTCAGAGACGGGTGCGGGACGTATGATTTGACGGTAAGAAATAAAATATAATTATGTTGTTTAAGTGTATAATTTTGTAAGAAACCTTTTTTATTTTTTAATTTATATACTAGTTATCATGTAATATTACTGAATATTTGACATAATAGAATATAGAAGTAAGACTATTAATAAAAATACAATCAATTTTTACATCAGTTGTAATGATTTTAATAGTTATTTTTTAATTTTGTTATTTTTATTGGTGTGATTTAGTTTATGCTATTCTTATATTCGGTGTTACAAATAACACACACAAGTATTGTGCAAATAATATAGTGTTGTCCGTGTAGTGAACCCAATTCATCCCGTGGGTGTCGTAAGAACCGACTAAGGGCGCAAAACAACGCAGAACACCAGCACTGCAAAAAGACGGAAAACTTGAAACAAACCCTATATCAACTCGTCTGGCCAGCGTGGTATAGTAGGCCAAAACCTTCTTTCTAAGGAGAGGCCTATGTCCAGCAGTGGACTATTAAAGGCTGTTGATGTGTGATGATGTGATGTGAATATAGTGTTTTCTAGTATTAGTCTCTTTACAATAGTTTTTTATACGACAAAAACTTTATAGTTTTGTAGTGTAATAGAACGGTTTTCTTTTTCAATTTACGTTAAGAATTCGTATAATTGTTGTTTTTCCCCAGCGTGAGCAAATAGCGCAGAAGCAAGACAAGCGCGTCCGTTCCCGCCTGTACACCGCGGTGGAGTCGTACGGCGGCCAGTGGCTGCCGCTGCTCTCCTGGCCCCGCGCGGCGCTGGGCGCGCCCTGCACCGACGAGGGGCGCCTGCCGCTGAGGGGGGGGGACGTCGTGCGGGCCACGCGCCAGCGACGGTCCGTACCTGCCGTCGAGCTCTCGGGGGGGCCATGGGCACTCACTGTTATACTTGGACCCCCAACCCAGGGGTTAATTTATATTCCCAGACATTGTACACTGAAGAACACTACATTTGGGAATTAAAATCTAGCTTTGTAAACAATATAAATAAGCGACTTTATTGCTCTGAGGCGATCTATTACAGGCAATCAAATGCTAAGACTTTATTGAGGGGTCTAAGTATAACAGTAAGCGTCCGTAGCCCCCTAGGGGGTCCACGAAAGAATTCCCACTACTGTGTTGCTTGCTTACTAATGTGTGTGTAATACTTCTTTTACTATTATAAATATACTGTCTCCTCCAGACATTGGCTGTTCGGCGAGAAGCTGGTGGGAGACGGAGACGGGCGGGGGCCCCGCGGCTGGTTCCCGCGAGGTGCCGTCACTCCCAGCGACCAGCTCCGAACCAACCACAAGATGGACTAGCTGCAGCTCGTGTAGTTATATAATATAGTGCTGAACTCAAAGAAACCGAAATAAATCATTATTGACGTTCGTGACTGAAAGCGTGCTTTGTGAGTCTAAGTGTAATAAAATCTTGGTGGCGGCACATTTTTGAGCGCAAATCTAGACAAGAACTTGTGTCGCCACGTTAGTGTGCCACACTGCTGTGGCGCCACTGTGTTAGGAGAACACAGAACCTGTGGCACCATCTTATGAATCAGATACAGTCAATGCCATCTAGTGACAATAGGTGGGACTAAAATTACTTGTAAAGACCAACTTTTTTTAAACAATAACGTACCATTTAAAAAAGTTGCTCAAAAGTACTGTTTAAAAAAGACTTACTTGCATTTTATAGATGATACGAATAAGGTGATTGTAAAAAAATATGTGTTGATACCTTTATTTTAAATAATATACAAAACTTATAACAATAAGGATTAATAAAGTAATTTTTTACAAAAGGCTATCTTTATATTTTACTTAAACCTGTACCATAGACTTATATTTTTAGTTTTCTAATAGTAAGCATAACTCACAGAGGTGTGAAATAAATATCTTACCTTGCATATTACCGAGTAAGTGAGGTTATCAGAGGAACAAACCCCTCCTTTTCTGTGGGGAAGGGAGGGGGGGAGAACAAACCCCAGTGTTTGTGCCACCTATTATCTGCTCTGGTATCTCAGATTCCAGTGTTCCATACATTCACATGAGCAAAGTTGGACTAAATTATTTATGGATTGGTTCAGAGTTGCAACCAAAAGTTTATAAATACTAGGGTATAATATACACACACGAGGAGGTATCTACAAGCGGTGGATGGTCTGGGGTCCGTCGGGGCCAGGGATTTCCTTCCTAGGGTACACTTGGTTCCCCGACTACCGGTACCCGAGAGGGAGTGCTGATTTAGTCGGTTCAAGTCCGACATAACCAACCAGCGGGTGCTATCCGAGGGGATTTCCGTACAGAAAATCTGGCCCTCCGGGAGTGCCGACACAAGTGAAACCTTATATGAAGAGGTGTCGGTAACGGTAACATAAAATAAATTCTTTTGTTTTTTGTTGGAAAATGCCCAACGTGCCTAAAGAAGTTTTCACTTCAAAAAAGAAAGGGGTAAAATAACCCTTTTTGACACTTTGATATCATACTGACTGAGACCGTAAGGGTTATGTTTTATATCCATAAGACGATTATTTTAATGCTGTAATTTTCTTTCATTTTTTACAGCTAACGAGTAACTAACTAAAGTTAAACCGCCGTAAGCTTGGCCCTCCTGATGGTTTGCGGGACGCGGGGCGGGTGATGCGCTCGGCTATACATGACACGATGTACTAACTCGATATCTTACCCCCAATGCACCCCCGCCCCGCGTCCCCCAAACCATCAGGAGGGCCAAGCTTACGGCGGTTTAACTATAGTAAGCTAACGAGGGGGCAAACGAGTACACGGTTCACATGACGGTAAGTGACTACCGCTACAAATGGACACCTACAACTCAAGAGTCATTGAGCCCCCCCTCCCAGAGACAGTGGGAGGTGGGTTTACATCAACAGCCTTTAATATGCCACTGTTGGACAGAGGACTCCCCTTGGAAAGGAAGTTTTGGCCTACTCTACCACGCTGGCCAGGTGGGTTGGTATGGTTTTCAAGTTTTTCTTTACAGTGCTGTTGTCCTGCGTAGTTTGCTCCTTTAGTCGGCTCTTATGACACTCACGGGATGAATAGGAGTGGTGCCACTCCATTGAAAACGTGCCTAAGGAAGACTAGTCCAACTGTTTTGTACTGTGGTTTCAGAGAATGCAATATGCATTAATTCCAAGGCAATATACTTTGAAAAAGAATAAATGTATAGTAAGTCTTATTTCTAGTCTAATTTATCAGAATCCAGAAACTTTGAATATGCCTTAAGAATGCCTGGTACAGGCTGTTCCTAGACGGCCTCGAGTGAGATGACGTATTTTATCGTTATTGGTTTAAACTTTTGGTATATATGCGGACTTCTTACTATTTCATCCAGTACCAGGCCAGTCAACCATAGAGTAATGCGGAGATAGGAAGAGGTAGGTGTTTGTTATATCTGTGGCTCTCAGCTCAGCCATCAACATGGCGCCCGCGTTGGTGGCTAAATCTGGCTGACTAGATAGTTGGTTAGAATGATAATTTACTGTGACACCATCGTTTAATAAAAAAAAACCATTATCTATGTGTAAAAATCTTTATTGTGCATTAAAAGTAAATTTTATTATTCACAAACACACATACCACTTATCGAAGGCGAAAATAATATTTTCAATAAGTTAGCTTACGATAGGATTGATATACTTTAATAATATAGCTTCGTTAGATTCTCACCAATTGTCTTTATAAGTAATAAATGCAAATTAATTTGTTACGCACAGACACTCAAACTCCTCAATTCCTCGAATGTTTAAGTTTCTACGCATATTTTAAACTTTCTCATCTTTTCGTACAGACAACAGGTTTTAAATTGACCATAACCCGTGGAATTCGGTCGACACAATCACATTGTATTTTTTATTCATAAAATCCTGTTAAATCCATATTTATAATGGTGTACACTTAACCACAGTCATTCCTTATTCTAATTACTATGTTAATAATATTATAAAACTTATTATTTTAGTCGACGGCATCAAGTGAAAAATATTTTTTTAGAATAAAGATAAAATATAAAATGTCACAGAATTTACGAGAACATTTCGTGTACGAACTAAGATCGACCAAAGTCTAACAGATTACGTATGAACCACTTCTAGTTTTAAGTCATTTTATGAAGCACCGATAAAGATAAAGTTACCATAAAACGTAAGATATCGATAAAATACAATCGACTTTGTCCCAACTCTAGTCCTATCCCAATTCGTTCACTATTGTTGTTTCCCTCCTTAATATTCGTTTTCCTCATCGAGCTCTCCCTCAGTGGAGTCTACTCCAACTTCCTCGTAGTCCTTCTCAAGAGCAGCCAGATCCTCACGAGCTTCAGAGAACTCTCCTTCCTCCATACCCTCACCGACGTACCAGTGGACGAAAGCGCGCTTAGCGTACATCAGGTCGAATTTGTGGTCAAGTCTGAAATGGGAAATTATTATATTAGAAGTCAAAGTCTAATCTCAAGGATTAATCGATACTCAACTGTAATTAACAAAATTTTAATTATATATATATATTTTTTTGTGTGACCACAAAATATATGATTACGTTTTTTATATTATATTTTTTGTTAGGAAATGGCAGAATGAATCATCGTTTGTATCATAGTCTTGTGATGATTAGCCATCTCTGTTTGTAGATGAGTTAATTACCTAGCAGCGACTTGCTGACTTGTTTTAAACGCAAGTAGGTATAGCTAGATATGAAATTATTAGCTAGATAGATAGATAGATAAATAAAGAGTTGTATTTTTTTTCAAACAAAAAATAACCATTGATGAAACGCGATATTACTAAAAAGTCCGTTCTAAGCTTACTCGTCCAGCTATCTAGACAGGGTTATGGATATTATAAGATGATATTTTGGTTGTAAATCATGTAAATTCTACCTATATCTCATTATATCTATAAATAATTAAATGACCGTCGCGATTTATTTATTAAATACCTACGTTCAGAAATAGAGCCGTACCTAGTTTTTTTAATATTTCACATAAAACAACGGCATTTGCAGAAACCACATAGGTCTATGTTTGAGCCGTCGAGAGTTTATACTTTTATACAATGTAAGTGAAAAACAACAATAGTAGGAGTTTAATTATATATTAATCTATACCTGGCCCAGGCCTCGGCGATGGCGGTGGTATTGGATAACATGCAGACAGCACGCTGTACCTTGGCCAAGTCTCCACCTGGAACCACCGTGGGAGGCTGGTAGTTGATGCCCACCTGTCAACCGAAATATAATTAGGCAACGTTCCACAGTATGTATGATGTTAGCAGACACAATGTTCGAAAAAGGATTGTTTCACGGCCCTTCACTTCCATCTAGTGAGCCCAACTCTGAGCCTAAATTTGTTTCTCGTATTCGCGATAGTTTTAACTATCACAATTTTGATATTTAAACATTTCTATTTCTGTAACCAGTAATAGCTTTTTTAAATATCAAAATTGGGAAATTTGTCTCCCGGTCGCCTACGTTTCGAGAACGTGGCAGCAGAATTGTAAGATTAATATCATGAATGAAAAACTGATATAAAAAATAAAGTTTAACTACTACTTTTTTTTTCAAGAAACACAATCAGGAGACTATCTTCTTCACGGAGCACAATATAAACCGAAAAATTTGTATCTACTTCACGAAGTGCCAGATGTTAATAGGAACCTTTAATTACTTACCTTAAAGCCTGTCGGACACCAGTCTACGAACTGAATGGTCCTCTTGGTCTTGATGGTAGCAATTGCTGCATTCACGTCCTTTGGCACCACGTCACCCCTGCATGAATAAAATAAGAATTTAAGTACATATAGGATCAAAACCCATAAAGCAATAAATCCTGATGATATTTAGAACATACCTGTACAACATGCAGCAAGCCATGTATTTGCCATGACGAGGATCGCATTTCACCATCTGTAAATAAAGAGCTTGTTATTAACATATACGCTCACACCAATGCCTAAAGATGTACACAGAGTTTGAAACACCCAAATTTTGTCAACTATAATTTGGGAGTTAATTCGAGCAGAACCGACCAATTTTGAAATTAATTGAAACAGAAACGGACAATTTGGTAATTAATTGAAACAGAACCGGACAATTTGGCAATTCATTGAAAAAAGCCTTACAACTTGGAAATTAATTGAATCAGAACCTGACAATTTGTCAATAATTGAAACAGAATTGGACAATTTGGGAGTTAATTGAAGCAGAAATGTAGATAAGAACTTTTTTATAACGTTTTGACAATATTGCTTTCTTTAATTTTTCGGGAAATTCTATAATACCTTTAGTGATATTCATTACATTACGAAGGGTAAGAAGTTTTTCCACTTCTTTTACCTGATTTGCCGGCTCGAAGCATGCATTGGTGATTTCAGCGACTGTGAGTTGCTCATGGTAGGCTTTCTCAGCGGAGATGACCGGCGCGTATGTCGCCAGGGGGAAGTGGATACGAGGGTAAGGTACCAAGTTGGTCTGGAACTCTGTCAGGTCTACATTTAGGGCTCCGTCGAAACGGAGAGAGGCCGTGATGGATGATACAATCTGAAATCGAAAGTTAAATACATACTATTAAGATTATGCTTACATTATATCTTAGGTTATAACTCTTAGAACAAACTAATTCGTTGTAAAGAAGATACATGAGGTGTTGAATATTGTACTAAGAAATGACAGCTCTTTGCCCAATGCAATAAATGGCTTAGAAGCAACCATCAATTCTTCAGCAGATGCCACTCGAAATTAAAAGACCCTTTGTGTATAAATCAAGATAATCTGCGTATAAATAGGTATCAGGATCAGCTATAGGATCTACGATCATATATGGGCCTAAATGGAAAACCAAAAGAAGTATCATAAAACACCTAAACTGTATCTATAGAAAGCGTATGAGTCGAATGCAGAGATATTTATTGCGCAAGTCACAATGGGCAACTTTTACAAGCGAAGGGTAAATGTTCCCATCCTTCACCTCAGGTCCTCCACTGCAATGAACTCGCGCGACTGTTGTTGATAGGTACTTAAAAGTAAGTGACCGGTTCCAATAATTTATTATTGCCTTTATAGGTTCTTGTTCTTTACATGTTTTTGATGCCTCATACCTGCCCAATAAGCCTGTTGAGATTAGTATAGGTGGGTCTCTCAATATCCAGGTTTCTTCTGCAGATGTCGTAAATGGCCTCGTTGTCGACCATGAATGCACAGTCTGAGTGCTCCAGGGTGGTGTGGGTTGTCAGGATGGAATTGTATGGTTCTACTACAGCCGTCGACACCTGGGAAGCAAAGGTGAAAATTAGAATAGTTTTTGGTGGTCGTTGGTCATCTTCCTGTGTTTTAGTAAATTACTTGACTGACTCTCGCAGCTCATCTCCACGATTTGGTTTTGAAGTTGCCTCTTTCATATATATATTATAAAGCTGATAGTGTGCTCTCTCTAACTCGGTCAGGTTTTTTAACATTAGGCACAACTTTAAGAGCGGAGCAGAGATCATAAACACGTGTGCAACTTCGGGGAACAGGTAACAGTTATATACAATAGTAAAACTTTTAAGAAGAAATAGGATTTGAAATAATTAACCTAAATGGGTCTCGTTTTTTGTACCTGAGGAGCAGGGTAGATGGAAAACTCGAGCTTAGACTTTTTGCCGTAGTCGACGGAGAGACGCTCCATCAGCAATGATGTGAAGCCGGATCCAGTGCCGCCGCCGAATGAATGGAACACCAAGAAACCCTGATGAAAAGAAATACTTATTAACATATTAACATAACGTCAACGATGTCTCATCATCAAGATTGAAGCCATGTAAACTATTAAGCTTACAAACAAGCCGTTAATACAAAAGGAGACGGTTATTAGGTACATAGAAGATACTTGTCTTATGAAACGATGGTCTTACTTAGCTGTGGTGATATGTATCCACATATTAAAGCTTTAAAACATTTATATACATAAAATCACATCATCACATCAACAGCCTTTGATAGTCCACTGCTGGACATAGGCCTCTCCTTAGAAAGGAGGTTTTGGCCTACTGTACCACGCTGACCAGACGGGTTGGTATAGGGCTTGTGTCAAGTTTTCCTGCTCACTGCAGTGCGTTGTTCTGCGTAGTTTTCTCCCTTAGTCGGATCTTATAATAGGTTGCACCTACCGACTAATACTTTTTCCAAAATTTAGACAACTTTTTAGTGGGTAAAAATTAAATTCCCGAGATACAGTACAAAATGCCTTTGAAGAATTTGTTGCCTCCCGTCCAGCTGATTTTTACAAGAAGGCATCAATAAACTGCCAATGCGTTGGCAAAGATGCGTCGATTGCATGGGTGATTACTTCGAATAACAAAAATAAAAAAGTTTGAAAAATAAGTACTTTCACTTATTGCATACAAAACGGCAATTTCATAGGTAAAGACCTAATATATATATATTTTTTTGTTTCCTCTTACTCTCAAATTAAATAGTAGGTAGACTTCCTTTCTTGTGCGAGGTTGAAATTATATTGTCTCTCAAGCAACTCCTTAAAAGACCCACAGCATGCCATTGTCTTCTCTCAGGAGATCTACTCGAAGCTAGATACTAACAAGTTTTCTAAAGCATATCTTTGTAATGACTATGGCGCATGTGACTGATAACTGCATACCTGGAGTCCGGTGCACTGGTCAGCGAGTTTCCTCATTCTGTCAAGGACTACGTCGACGATTTCCTTTCCGATGGTGTAGTGGCCCCTGGCGTAGTTATTGGCTGCGTCTTCTTTACCAGTGATAAGTTGTTCTGGATGAAACAACTGACGGTACGTGCCGGTACGGACCTCATCTGAGGATAAAAAAAATATTGTTTTATTGTTCTATGTGTGTTTGATGTCCAATTCTAATGTGATTATTAGAAGTGTTTAAAAACAGTTTTGAACATAAACTCGAATATCGGAGACAGAAAGACGGTCCAGAAATTACGAAGATTACCTGGAACAAACAGACAGACAGACAAAAAAATTGGTTGCCTGTAAAGTCGGTATACGGGCGAAAGTTTTACGTGACAACGACTATGTCTGTCTCTCTCGCTCTTAGGCGGGCTAACCATGCCCGATTGGAAGGGACGCGTGCCTCTCACTCGCTCTCATTGTGAGCGCATAACGTGAGCGGAGCGTAACGCAGTTTCTTGAAGTGTCACCCGGCAAACCAATTTATAAGACGTTGTCACGTCAAAAATATTTAAACTGATTTTTAGGCATAGGTATCAAGCAAATAAGCATATGAGCATGAAAAACCCTATTATTTTAACATCACAAACAGACACTTCAATTTTATTTATTTGTATAGATAGTATAGTATTGATCTTCTATATTTGGAATTTTGTTGCATTCCGATATCATATTTAAGATTACCGTACCGGGATATGGAAGAAGGATTTGAACCCTGGCCACAATGAAATAAAAACGTTAATAAAATACCTACATACCATTTACAAATATGGCTCAAATATCTAACTGCTGTATACCTATTTTATTTGCTAACCACAAACTAAAACAGATGTTATTCTCGAAAACATGCAAGCTATAAATATTATGGCTCATTAACCAGAAGCCCAGTTTCAGACAGATGACACATTACAAGAAGACTGATTCACCGAAAATTAAAACAAAACATAAAATTAGAGAATTGAAGTGCACATGGGCACTCTCAAAATTGAGACGAATGCCCCACTTGAGAGCTAATTGCTCTCATCTGAATGTGGTTGTGTTGCTGCTGTGTAATAAATACTGGACAGCTAAGAGCTTTGGACTATAAGAGCTTCCTGTATTGCGAAAGATGTTTTAAATAGATATGCTGGTTTGATTTTACTGCACTTGATACATTAATACAAGGTTTTTGAGGTGGACTTAATTTAGTTTTCTGGTAGTCCAGCTAAGTTACAATAAACTAAACTATCAATAAACCTATCCCTGGGTCGCAATTCCAGGCGCTGACGAAGTCGCATGTGTTGGCCCCATCTATCACGCGATGGACCCGATACCCGCACGGCGAATCCATGGAACGCTAAGGATTAGGTTTCTACTATTCTTTTTTTATTTTAGATATAGTTCTCGTCTTGCCAACGACTAGTATTTGAATAGAATAACCAAATGACTAGCATAGTCTAACCTACCCGACCTAGTTCTTAAAAATGGTTGTGCAACATTGTACTGGAATCGATCTATCATTACTGATTACGGACTAAAGATGTGTGGTGATGGTACGCTTCAAGCATCAAGCAATGGTTGTTGACGTCACTATTCCCAGTTACATTCTTAATCAATCATAGGCATTTAGGGAGTCAAAAGTACATAAAAGTTGGATTTTTTAACTTTGCAAGTTGACCTTATCTGTTGTTTATCGGTTACTTATGGTACACATAATTGCCAGGTATAATAAACCTACAGATTTTTAATTATGAAGATTATAGTTATAAATTATTACACTTAGTTAACAACAAACTACTGATAAACTTTTATAAGGTAAGTTTGTCATTAGTATTAGCTTTTGAAAAGGAGCGAATCATCACGGCGTTTTACAATCTTTGTGCGATTTGGGCAAAGTTTAACTATTTATCAAGGAACTAAAACAGTATTATTTTTTTAAATATCGACGTAATATACCACTTTTTCATCATCAAATACATTGCCCTTACCAATTCAAACAAAACTTTGTTAACAAGCGTAAAATAAAAATAAATGCTATAAACTAACCGTGAGGCTCTAAATTAAAGCCTTCGCCGGGCGGTTTTATAATAGAAATTTGTAATAGAACGCTCGGGTATTGAACCCAGGGCGACGCGTCGTTATTACCGACAGTCTATCATTACGCTTATAAGTACTGTGAAATCATCAACTTTTGAGATTATTTTATTGATTTTCTGATAAAGAAAGTATTGTATTATTGAATCTTTTTACATAAAGTTAAGTTGTAAAACCGCAGAGTTAACGTAAAAAACATTTTCTAGATACGAGTATATCAGTTAAGTCACATCATATTGAAATACTCTGACCAGGACAGACTCCAAGTCGATATTATCGACTTGTCTGACTTGTGTTATTGATTGTGTTACTGATATTAAAGAAATGTCTTCGATACAAGTCAGAAACGCCTTTATAGTTAAAAGAAGAACCACAATCGACGCAACAAAAGAAGAACGTTTTGACACAAGAACTTCAACAGCCTAAATAGGCTACCAAGGCAAGACCTTAAAACACTAGGTCCTCAATGTTAGACCGAACCTTGGCAAAGCACGAAGTACGAATCTGGTGTTTCAACTACAGCAGTGCGTCAAGTCAGTTTGTCCTGTCAGCTTTTCACAATAGGCTAGTTGACTCAATTTGAAAACTTGGTTAAATATATACTTTAATATTTTATCCCAAAAAACCTATATTTTAAAGAAAAAGCAATATTTACATTACGTTTTTTGCATTTAAAAAAATAAATTTAAATTTCCCTTGAAAACGCTGAACAGTGTCATGGCGTCGTGAATGACGTCACAGTCTGCGAAACAAAACTGTTTACATCTGTGTCCAATATGCTAAAAACGAAAAACAATAAGGAGTAACCTGCTCTGTTGTTTGAAAACGTCAACAACAACGATGATGTTTTGCGTCCCGTGACGTAACACTTTCTGATTGGTGTTCGCTGTCACGTGACCTTATGCCTATTTTGTTCGAATTTATTTAAACAAAATATTGATAATCTTTACGTTTTATGAGAAATAGACTGTTTTTTTTATCTATTTCTCTTAATTTATAACTTGAAACGAAAAACCAAGCAATTTGTGGACACAAGCCTATTGCAACGAAGTTTTGCATCGTGTTATTGACCAAATATTTTCGTGCAAAATATATTTATTTATTGAGACACCTTTGGTTACTATCAGGTGTTTATTTTACTTCTTTTACCTTAAAGAAGCTGATATATGCTTAACTTACCAACAACGGTAGGTTCTAAGTCCACGAATACAGCTCTTGGCACGTGCTTGCCGGCACCCGTCTCGCTGAAGAAGGTGTTGAAAGAGTCATCGCCTCCGCCCAGGGTCTTGTCTGATGGCATCTGGCCATCAGGCTGGATACCATGCTCTAGGCAGTATAGCTCCCAGCAAGCGTTGCCGATTTGGACGCCGGCTTGGCCGATGTGGACTGAGATACATTCCCTCTGTAAACGGAAAGAAAACTTGTGCTATGTTTAGAGTGTTTTTGTTCAAAATAACCACCCCTCTTTTCCCCCGTTACGAATAAATAACGTTAAAGGTACGTTAAAAATGCTGAAACATAATAAACTGTTATCCTCATTCCTTAACGTGCCGCGTGGTGACAGATTAAGAATACTTATATTGTCACCACCCCTATTCATCCCGTGGGTGTCGTAAGAGAGAAGGAAACCTTGACACAAACCCTATACCAGCCCGTCTGGCCAGCTTGGTACAGTAGCCCATAACCTCCTTTCTAAGGAGAGGTTGTCCAATAGTGGACTAATGAAGGCTGTTGATGATGATGATGATTAATTTTCCTCTCTCAGGGGTGGTTTTTTTTTAAATTTAAATTTGTTTTAGACGAGTGACTCCTGTCTTGTCCTATCTAAATTCAAATTTGACAATTGACAATGCTTTTTTTAAATGTATGGTCTACCTATTCCCTAATATCGATTCATAAATGATGAAATTCTGAAGTAAAAAAAAGATACAGCCGTATTGAGAACTGCCGCTTGTTTTCGAAGTCGGTTAATCATTCAATCAATCAAGACAATCCGAAAACAAAATGTTTTACTAACATGTTTGTATTAGATTTTTAGTTTTTATAACTCAAAATTTAATACAAACATGAAGGTAAGGATCAAATTAAGCAATCAAAAGTGTATAATGAACAGCTTAGCGCCTCAAATAAACACAAAAGCTTTTATATCCTGCGATGAAAGGGAATTTTATATTCAATTTGAATTTAATTTGTGTTTTATAAATGAGTAAGCTTTGAAAGACTTGTTCCCTCTATACTAAATTTATGACTTTCTTTGTATACCCAATATTATTTCCAAGAAAACCAAATACCCATAGACTATTATAGACGCGTGATTTTCTCAAACAAAAAAGTGTAACTGGGGCACAAGGTGACACTGTGATGTCGAGGTCAGTGACCAGCGTGTCATTAAGGTTGTACTTATTTCCCTCAGCTGAAAGTTCCTTCACACAGGTACAATAGTGAAATATTTTGTTGACAACTTAATGATAAAAGAAGATCGACATGTTGTAATGACAATAGAAAATTACGTTTATGTTCTGAATACAGGTGAAAGAATTCACAGGATTCGCAGAACACGATAAAAACTTTTTATTTTTTAACATTTAGCTTATAGACATGATGGCTATGGTTCAAACCATATCTCCTATCATATTTTACCAATCATATTTCTAGCATAATCACATTTATAGCCCAAAACTGCTGTTATGTAAAAAGGAAAGCATAGAGATAGTACTCCATAGTACTATCTCTATGTTATAGATAGTACCGGGAATTTATCCGTTTTGTTTTGAACCAAGTTTTACTCAGAACTAGCGATTTATCAAGTTCTAAAAATCAAAGAAGCTCACTTTTCAGACATAACTTTAAGAGCGACGCCTGTTGCCTGTTCTCGAGTTATACCTAAATCCCCGATCACAAGTATCTAGCTTTGTTTTTTGTTCATTGCTCATAAGCAAACGATTACTAGTCTTCTATACCTACAGATGAAATTACGACGTTCAGAATAGTGTACATCTCCTCCAAGTGAACGAAAGGTTTAGTACAAAGTGATAAATGTGTATCGTTTGATACGCACAAGCCTCGGACACGCGCTAATTATTCCTTCAACGCCCTATTTGTGATAAATTACATTAGAACTACTCGGACATGTATTCGAACGTTACGCTGACTTAGTTCACAAATAACGTAATTTATATTCTCGGTGTATATATCATTCGAAATTTAATATCATCTAATTTGATCTTAAAAAATTCTTGAAAAAATCCGTGTTAAAAACCGCCTGTTTTGAAGTCTTTTAAAAAGTAAATAATTTAAACAATTTTGACACTTATTTTATTGCTTATAGACTTAATCTAATATGTATAGGTTGGTCTTTACGTACTCACATAATATATGATTATGTACTATAAAACTTTTGAAATAAAGTTGTAAATAAATTAGAAATCCATACCCATATTCTTGTTAAATGTAAATAACAAGGCAAAAATATTTAGTCATAGCTATAGGACCAATAGGCTAGTTGACTCAATTTGAAAACTTGGTTATTATATACTTTAATATGTATTTTATCCAAAAAAACCTATATTTTAAAGAAAAGGCAATATTTACATTACGTATTTTGTATTGAAAAAAAAAACCATTTTGATTTCCCTTGAAAACGTTGAATAGTGTCATGGCGTCTTGAATGACGTCACTGTCTTCGAAACAAAACTGTTGACATCTGTGTCTAGTGTCAACTGAAACTGTATTAAGGTGAGAAAATATGCTAAAAACGAAAAACAATAATTAGTAACCTGCTCTGTTGTATGTCTACCGTCAACAACAACAATGACGTTTTGCGTGGAGTGACGTAACACTTTCTGATTGGTGTTATGCCTATTTTGTTAGAAGTTTATTTAAAAAAAATATTAATAATCTTTTACTTTTATTAGAAATAGACTGTTTTTTTCTTATCTATGTCTCTTCATTTATAAGAAACTATAAACTAAACCAAGCAATTTGTTATTAGTGAACACAAGCCTATTATAAAAGTTAGGTATTCAGTATCATAATAATTGGAACAGTCATTTGTCATCAATCCCACCTGATGGAAAGTGAACAGAACATAGAATAAATAAGTTTTTATAGGTATGTAGATAAATTATTGAGCGACCAGAGCGACCTCATGTCACGAACTCAATGAAACTTGTCTGGTAATTTTCCCGTCAAAACCGTTCAATGAATATAGTCATGTGTGTCACGCAATTTTATATCTTCAATTTATTTATCGTTTCTAGACATATTTATTACATTTACCTATTTATGAAAGGGATTAGATTTGAAAACGGTTAAAAATTAGTTATACTATTATAAAATAAGATTTAAAATTACAATGTTTAATGCTATTATTCTCTTAGATACTTTCGCGTTATGTGGGATGTCTGACATGTCTTCTTACCTTCACAGCTATATAGTGTGAATTACCTTATTATTGTCTGGTTAGGTTTGATAGGGTAAGTAAACTCCCCTTTCCCCCACATATACTAATAATAACCTTAGACCTCTCACACACGGTCGTCTGATCTAGACAGAGCTTTGAGACCTTGCTCATCACACAATTATTTGACCTGTCGAACCCACGATTGCACGGATGGCGTAGTGGTTTGAGCGGTCGGCACGCCGCTTACTACTACTACGCTGAGTGCTGTGGGTCCGATCCCCACTTGGGACTACACTTTGTGTGATCCACAAATTGTTGTTCTGAGTCTGGGTGTTATTTGTGTCCGTTTCATGAATGTTTGTAAAGTCTCCCGCGACACAGGATATACTTATTCCTAATGCGGGAGTTGTTTTTTCAAAAATTAAATAAAAAAGTACCCCCCCTCCCCTCCCTCCCTTTATATACATACGCAGTCACGTCTTTTATCCCCGAAAGGATAGACAGTAACGTCATACGTTTCCCGACCATATTTGTTTTCCGGTTAACGTTATAGGGGACAAGCCTAACCGTCCACCGAGTTTATATTTTTCTATGTTTAAATACTAAACATTTCTAAACATATGCAATAGACAAATTACATTACACCATATTTGTTCTGGGTTTAAATCGAACCTAGGATCTCTAGCTTAGCAGTCAGGGTCGCTAACCACCTGGCTCACTTTTTCATAATAGACAATTATCGCTTATTTTTTATTTCATTGCTCGAGTCAACCTCATGGTTTTGTGTCTTTCAATACTTAGGTTAGTTTTAGTTCTGTTTTCTTCTGGTTCCTTTTAGGTAATAATAAAATCTAAACATACAAATACGGTCTTAAACTTGACTTACTATAACTAATATTAGGGGAAATATTAAAAAGGCAGATTCGTTGAACATATCTTATATCCAATTGTATTATTCCTTATTACCAGTTGATTATTTTTAACATTAAAAAAATATTACATCATAGGATACAATCTAAAACTTTTTTTTTTCCTAAAAGCTTAGTCTAACATGAAAACAAAAAGCAAATCCATCCGACCCATCTTAAGTGCTGCACCTACCAACTATTAACAAGAGCAATTCATTAATTTATATAATAAAATCAATAAAGTTCTCAATATTTATCCTCAAACGGGCACACAGTGCAAAAAAGAGTTGATTAAATATCTGCAAAAACTAGACTATGAAGAGACTGAAAAACTCATGAACACTATTCAATAACAGTTGCAAACATACACACACACACACACACACACACACACACACACACCACACACACCACACACACACACACATAAACACACACACACACACACAAGACCACATTATACTCAAGCACATGCACAGACTGGATTGATTTTATATTGTATAGCTTACATACAATATATAATAGTAAGGCTTAATGTGCAATTGGGGAGTTGGCGCTGATAGTCGAAATACAGGCTTCGCCTAGTTCGACTTCAGATGCTTGATTCTTTTAATTTTAAGACATATTAATATGGATGTTTAAAGATGTAACCTGTAAGTTTGTGTGTGTAAATTTATAAATAAATAAAAAAAAAAAAATAGACAAGCCATAAATCACTTAACTTTTGCTTATGTCTAGAGGACAAACTGACAAGGTTCTATTGCAGGCTGCCAGTCACCCATGCCTACAATTTTAATGTACCGTGGCATGATTTAAAAATATTGTACGTAGCGGTACGGGCTGGTACGATACGTAGATGATCAATCACAGAATAGAACCCGTTTAATGGCTATGGAACTTTCTATCACAATGTAAGTACTGGTTTGCACTATGGTACCATTTGGTTGGGCCTAAAGAATGATCGTATGTACTGGTTCGTACCCGCAGTTTCGATCTTGTTTATGTCAACTTTATCAATCAATCTCTTCTTGATAAAAATTATAATATACTATTTTAAATTATAATCTACAGATATAAAGCTGTGTTATTACG